GCCACCCCAAGAATCTGGAAAGTTCTGTGAGGGTCTCTGCAGTCTCCTCCCCAGGGAGCAGCTGAGCATCTTAGGGGACTCAATCTCTCATATCCCCGTGTCTTCCCAACTTCTGGTTGCCCAAGGATGATTGATGGGGAGAAAGCAGAAGCAAAGAAGAGGGGCTGGGGAGAACTCCCACCCTCAGTCCTGCTCTAACAGAACCACCACACGCTGGCTAACAAAAAAACTCATCTCTCACGGTTGAGAAGGCTCTCAAACTCATTGCCATCCAGTGGACTCATTGTGACCCTAGAGGACAGAGTTGAACTGCCCCTGTGCGTTTCTCCAAGGCTGGCAATCTCTAGAGTAGAAAGCCTCATCTTCTTCCCAAGAAACAGCTAGTGGCTTCGAACTGCTGGCCCTGAGACTAGCAGCCCAAAGCATAACCCACTATGCCACCAGGGTCCTTGTTAAGGAGGCTGGAAGTGTGAATTCCAGTCACCTGTGCTGGGGGAAGGCTTCCGCTCTCTTCGTTGGCTCTGTATCTCTTTAGCTTCGGTTCCTGGGCGCGTGGCCTGGTGTCTCTTCCCCCAGCTCCTTTCAAAACCAAACCAAAACTCCTGCCATCAGCTTGATGCCCACTGACAGCAACCTGTACAGGACAGGGTAGAACTGCCCCTGTACAGGGCTTCCCCAGACCAGAGAACTCTTTACAGAGTAGAAAGCCTCATCGCTCTCCTGAGGAAGGGATGGCGAATTTGAACTGATGCCCTTGTGGTTAACAAGCAGCCCCACTATGCCATCAGGGCCCCAGCGCCTCGTATAGCAGGTAAAAGATTGACTTTGGACACCCCTTCCAAACCCTGCCCCATTAACACGACTAAGACACCTGTGGTGATTAGATTTTATGCGACTTGCTGACAACTGTGTGGAGGTAGGGGTAGGGGTGTCCAATCTATCAGGCAGGCTGGTGATGTTTAGGGGGTGGGGGGTGTTTTTATGAGACTCTAGGAACTTCTCTCACTCTGGCATTGCCATCCCTCCTTGCTGGGATTCTGTCTGCCTCCAGGGGTGGCCCCACGGGCTCCAGACCCTGAGTCCTATCCTGCCCACAATGACCTAAGACTCATGGGCCTCTGCACCCAGTGGCCTGTGATCCCCCTTGCTTTCTGCTTCACAGGCCTGCAGCTACTTGAGTCTAAAAAAGCGCTCAGCCAGCCTTGGACTTGAGTTGGATTGGGCCGGGACACCCTGACACCAGTTTGTTTCTCTAGACAATCCAGCCTCACACAGCAACCCATGTTCCTAATGCGGCTGTACCCACAGGCCCAAAGGTTAGGATTTACAGCGCCTGATTTTTGCAGGGACAAGGAACCCTGGTGACATAGTGGTTTGCGTGTTGGGCTGCTAGTCACAAGGTCAGCAGTTTGAACCCACCAGCTGCTCTGACAGAGACGAGGCTGTCTGCTCTGGGAAAGACACGCAGCCTCAGAAGCCCACAGGAGCACTGCCCTGGACTCACTACGAGTCAGAATCAACTCGATGGCAGTGAGATTTGGGAAGGGGGGTGGGGGGCGGACACAGAGATCAGTCTTTAATACCCCCCACCCCCCCTCCCGAAACACCAAGAGATCAGACTAGGTGTAGTGAAAGAGAGGCGTTGTTTTCCTGTTTTATTTCAAGAGAACAAAGAATCAATTGTCAACTTTGTACAAAAACCTGGTGTCAGTGGTGGTGATCCTGGGCTGGCGCCTTCCCCTCCCACCAATATGCCAAATTAAAAAAATCAGGATGAGGCCCACATGCCCAAACTCTGAACGAAATCACTATGAAAAAGCCGGGGCCCCTTCCGGGGCCTCCAGACTCCTCCCTGTCCCCAAGCCAGGAGGGGCCTGGGCCAGGGCTGTGCTCACGGCCAGCGAGGCCACACTGGGGCGCGGGTAGACTGAGTGTTCGGCACCCACTGGGGGCGGGGGAGGAGTCTGGAAGACAGTCAAGAGAAAAAGATGCCCTCTGGCCTGGGTGCAGGCTCATGGATCCTGCGGGAAACGTTTATAAAAAACCAGGGCCCAGGCGGTCGCCAGAGGAGTCGTCGGAATCAAAAAAACCTAAGTCGTGGAAAGATTGTGTTGTGGCTCTTGTTTTCTTCTCAGAAGGCAAAGAACTACAAACGGCGGCTCCAAGACCTGGGTCCTTCACCTGCCCTGCCCCTGGAAGCCCTGCAGGAGAGGATGGGCGCCGGGAGAGGCTGGTTCTTTAAAAAGTCACCCCGGTGGGTGGGTGGGCGGACGAGCTGGCGGCTGCCCTGCCTTCTCCAGGCCGAGGTCCAGTCCGGGAGAGGGGCTGCGGCGGCTATGCGGGCAAGCTCAGCTTCTTCCCCTTCAGGACTG